GCGGGCCGGGCGCCCCCCGGCGGGACCCGGTGCAGGGGTCCTCGCCGCGGTTTAACCGTGTCTCTTGCCTTTAGCAGCCAGCAAGCTCTGTGTCAGGGCGCGGGGGTGCAGAGAGTCAGGACAGGATGAGGGATAGCTCAGCAGCCACCTCGGCTTCCTCGTCAGTGACAGATCTGTACTGCACCCCCTGCAGCAGTAGGTCAGATCTCTTCCTCCCGAGCACGGCAGGAGACTTCAGCTTGAGCGCCAGCTTGTCAGCTTGTACGATGCTCTATGAGGTACCTTCCAACAGGCTGCTCCTCTGGGCCCAGCACGCCTTGGGGAGCAAGCGTTTGGTGTGCTTCGTGAGGAGTTATGAAATAAACCCTTTCCTTTCTGAGGCGAATAGCTAGTCTAAAAATATCTCAGTTTGTATCTCCCAGTGAGTCTTTTACCCTGCGTGTGCCTTTCCTTATCTGCTAGTTCAGAGAAAAAAAAAAAAAAAAAAGAAGGGGGCCGCCCCCCCGGGGGGGAGGACCACATAAACTTATATATACTTTCCTTGCTTTACTTCAAGTTTGGGAGGATTTATCTTAAATCTTGGACACTGGAGTCAAATCAGTGTGTGAGATGGCAGTGGGTGAACCCCCAACCCTTTCTCAAGAAAGAGGAATGGAATTTAGCCTACTTAGTTTTTTGAAATCTAGCATGCACCCCGAGATGCTACACAGCATTAGATGTGCTGACCCCTTCACTTTAATGCCTTAATACTTGCTCGATGAGCTTCTAAAAGGAAAATACTCTGGTGAAAGGTGAGAGTTAATGGGGTTTTTTATAGAGAAAACTTCATGCTGAGGAATGGCGTTGCTACAGAAGAATCATGAATACGTCTAAAAGGTGAAGGATATTATTTCATTTTTGTAATTTCATGTGGGTTTAGGTGGGTGCTTAACAGATTGAGTCCCATAATGGTTCCTGCTCAGATGTAGTGAGCTAGTTTTGACCATATTTTGCCATTCCAGGGTGCAGTAGAGCCTATGCAGATTGACGTAGATCCTCAAGAAGATCAGCAGAATGCACCTGATATCAACTACGTTGTGGAAAACCCCACTCTGGTATGTACTGGTTGAGGGCAGAAGGGCTTTATTTCTCGACTGGACTGTCTGCACCCCGAGATGCTACACAGCATCAGATATGCTGACCCCTTCACTTTAATGCCTTAATACTTGCTCGATGAGCTTCTAAAAGGAAAATACTCTGGTGAAAGATGAGAGTTAATGGGGTTTTTTTATAGGGAAAGCTTCATGCTGAGGAATGACATTGCTACAGAAAAATCATGAATATGTCTAAAAGGTCAAGGATATTATTTCATTTTTATAATTTAATGTGGGTTTAGGTGGGTGCTTAACAGATTGAGTCCCATAATGGTTCCTGCTCGGATGTAATGAGCTACTTTTGACCATATTTTGCCTTTCCAGGGTGCAGTAGAGCCTATGCAGATTGACGTAGATCCTCAAGAAGATCAGCAGAATGCACCTGATATCAACTACGTTGTGGAAAACCCCACTCTGGTATGTGCTGGTTGAGGGCAGAAGGGCTTTATTTCTTGAGCATGGCCTCCTCCGTTCAGGTCTTTGAAAGGCACCTTCATTTTACTCCTTGTCATTTTTTTATTTAGAAGTTACTGGGCTGTCTTGTAAGCAAGGTGTTAGAAAAGTAACAGTGACATTTTCTGTAGCTCTTTGCTCCGTACTGGGCCGTCAGGTGAAGGAGGATGTGATATGCTGATATTTATTGCATGCTGCTTGTTGGATATGGATTGCATTCTGATTACTTATAGAGACGTTTTTATTTAAAGGTGTGTCCTTTTCTTTTCTGCAGAGCTAAGTTCAGCAGCGTGAAGTATATAATTAGGATAGAGTTCTTTCCTTGTGTCTTGATGCTTTGGAGGCTGTCTAAGATACACAGAGCTGTCAGGTTGTTAAGAACTGCATTTGTTTGCGTCAGTTTCTTCAATTTTTAATTAATGATCTGAGATTTTGGACAATTTCTGTGCATCAGTTTTGCAACAGTGGGAGATGAATCCCATAGGAAAGAACAAAAGAAGTGGTAAAGCATCATAAAAATTGCAAAATAAAGCACTCTGCTTGAAAAGTCTGGATCTCATATAACCTTTGAATCAATTCGTTCCTGTTGTCCCTGTGATTTGTAATGCTGTTGTCATATGGTCATTTACTGTTTTCTGCACAGCCCTCATTAATTCTTTTGCTCAGTGTATGAGCTGATACCTTCTTTGATTTCATTGCATTTAAATTCTGTTTTGAAGACAGAACGATGATGTAATTATACTTACAGTTTTTTTTTTTTGTCTTGTTAGTATAACATCTAAATGTTGCACAAATATTAGGGATTTTATTCTTGCCATAACTATACAATGTAAAGGAACATAATCCCCATTTGACAATCAAAGAGCCAAGGAGTAAAGCTGAAATTGCTCAGAGATTTCAGGAGTATTATGCAGCCTCAAACATGAAGCACTGGAAGAAGGAACACTCCTGGTTTTGCATTTCTTGGATTCTGCAGCAAATAAGGCAGGAATCCTAAAGACAGGTCTTTAGTGCAGACAGTGCTATTTCAGTCTTAGAGTATGTTCATTCTTCCACTAAATCACAGAAGAGTCACGTTACAAAAAGTGTTCCTGACATCAATAACTGTATCTTAATTTTGGCACACAGAGAGAACAAATTAAATGTGAACGACCAACTTGAACCAGTGTTTCCTGATGCCCAAGTGCTATATTTAGCCTTGAATATTGCTAGATTTGTTTACTCTCAAGGATTGGTGTCTGACCTCGGAAACTTTGGTTCAAAGGATGAAATCTGGACAAAGTCACAGTATGGGATAGTGTTGTCAACTTTGCTTTCTGAGATGAGGTCTTTTTTTGCAGGATTTGGAGCAGTATGCCTCGAGTTACAGCGGGCTGATGCGAATTGAGCGGCTGCAGTTTATTGCTGATCATTGCCCACAGCTGCGGGTGGAGGCTCTCAAGATGGCACTGTCGTTTGTCCAGAGAACTTTCAATGTTGATGTGTACGAGGAAATCCACAGAAAATTGTCTGAGGCCACCAGGTACTGAGAAAGAGATTGGAACATGGGAGAGTGGCTTTGCAGTAAGACAGATATGCCACAGGAAGAAACTTTGCACGTAATAGCGGAGTGTTGCTTATACAAATTATTTGGTCCTTAGAATTTGGTAGCAATGAGCTAACTGTAAGTTTCTAGGTCTAAGATACGATGCTTTTTTGAAGATTAAATATGCACAGAAAAGTTACTATTTTGCTCTGGAGCCTTAATGTTTTAAAGGTCTACAGGTAGGTGACAAGGTGAGATTAGTCCTTGTAACTGCTTCAGATATTAATGAACACTTCCCTCTAAGGAAAACTCTGGAGATGGAGTTTCTTCTAGATGTTCTTGTGTTTATAATTTAACATTTTATTTAAATATTTGCATCATTGCCATGTTTTTCCTTAATGACAGTTTTACTATTAATGGTAACCTGATGATAATTTTCTTTGATACTTCACTTATCCAACTGTAGTTCCCATCTTTACATTTTTGATATTTCACTGCAAATCATAGCAGCAATTTCTTTTCCTTTCTCCTCCTCACCTTATTTTCTTTTCGGTCTGTTTGGTTTATGAAGTACCATTTGTTCGGATAACAGTGCCAGGTACTACTTAGGCCTCTGTCTAGAAAAGCTTGTAGCATATTAGTCAAGTTCAAACTCTTTGCTTTCAGAGAACTGCAGAACACGCCTGATGCTGTCCCTGATAGTGGGATTGAACCCCCTCCTCTTGACACAGCATGGGTAGAAGCTACGCGCAAAAAAGCTCTTCTTAAGCTGGAGAAACTGGACACAGATCTGAAAAATTACAAAGGGAACTCCATTAAGGAGAGTATCAGGTGAGATGTAGAAGGCTCTGCTGAAGTAAGGAAGAGTGTTTTGCTCTTCTAGGCATCTAACACAGGCAGTGAGCTGCATTCAGTGCCTTAGGTCAGTATGACAAGTTACTTGTTTCAAGCAAGCTGTGACTCTGTGTTCCCTTTCTTTTCTGTACCTTCTGAGTTGGTATTTTAACTCCTGTGCTCTAGGAGAGGCCATGATGACTTAGGTGATCATTACCTTGACTGTGGGGACCTCAGCAACGCTCTCAAATGTTACTCGCGAGCCCGTGATTACTGCACCAGTGCTAAACATGTTATTAACATGTGTCTCAATGTCATTAAGGTAGGAGGATTTGCAGAGAATAATTGGAGTCTTTCTGACACCTGTTGTGCTGTCCATTAGTGTCCAGTTATACCTCTTGCATCTGTAATGGCAGAGCTTCTGCGAGTATCACTGTTTATTCATGCCTTGATCTGTGCTGGTTTTCTGGCTGTTTGCAGGTCAGTGTCTACCTCCAGAATTGGTCTCACGTTCTGAGCTATGTAAGCAAGGCTGAATCTACACCAGAAATTGCAGAGGTAAGCTTCTGCTTTTTAACTTGCATTTTCCCTTTGCTTTTTGTCTCCAAAATTTTTATCAGAATCTCTTCCTTTCTCTTTTTAGGATTAGTTCCCTCTAAGACTTCTTTGATTTCTCAATGTGTTTTTCCTCTAATCTGTCCATTCTGTGACTTACATACTGTTCCTTTTAAGGTTCATTGCTGCTTACCTCCAAATATGTGCCTAGGAGATATAACTTATGATAAATGTAGAGAGATTTTCCATTCTTGGTATCCATTTCAGCTCTTGCCATACCTTCCAGGACAGATAAAAGGAAGTTATCTTGATTTTGAGTTCTCTATGCTAACTGATAGGATGAACTATTTTCATGTTACTTGCTCATTACTGCTTTTTTCCATCCTCTAGCAAAGAGGAGAAAGAGACAGTCAGACACAAGCAATTCTCACTAAACTGAAATGTGCAGCAGGTGAGTGAATCCCTCAGCTTCCTCGATTTTGTCCTCCTGTCTTTCTGTTAGCTCTCCATAGAGCTCTTTGATAGCAGCGTGTCCTTACTTTGTTCTCTTATATTTGCAATATGTCATTTTCTCATCAGAAATGCAGAAATATTAACTTGAAATATGTAATACAGAATTTAAAATTCTGCGTTTCAAGTGCAGAAATATTAAAGTCACTATGGCTTATGGCAGAGTGCCTCGAGAGCTGCGCGGTAGAAAAGGATCTGTGGCTGTTGGTCAACAGTCAGCTGAACATGAGCCAGCAGGGTGCCCAGGTGGCCAAGAAGGCCAACAGCAGCCTGGCTTGTATCAGTGTAGCCAGCAGAAGCCAGTAGAAGTTGCCCTTTACTCCACGCTGTGAGCAGCGGCTGAGGGAGCCGGGGTTATTCAGGGTGGAGAAGAGGAGGCTCAGGGAAGACTTCACTGCTCTCTGCAACTGCCTGAAAGGAGGTGATAGTGAAGCAGGCATCGATCAGAAAGAGTGGTCAAGGATTGCAACTGGCTGCCCAGGGTGGTGGTGGAGTCATCGTCCCTGGCAGTGTTCAAGAAATGTGTAGCTGAGGTGCCTGGGGACATGATTTAGTAGACATGGTGGCAATGGGTTGTACTTGATGATCTTAAAGGTCTTTTCCAACCATGATGATTCTATGATTCTAAGCTGAGATAGAACTACTGTGGCTAGGTTTTGAATTTTCTTTCCACTCCCCAAGTTTCTTCAGAGATGATGCCAGTGTGAGTCAATGTTGTCTACAAGATGCCAGATACTGGCCAAGAGTCTATTTTACTTGAGTAGTGAAGTCACAAGCAGTCATGTGGGGCCCTTTCTGCTCCATAGATTTTGCATTTTCTACTACTTCGTATGCTATCGTTAGCAGAGGACTAACTTTCTTTTTGGGTTTCAGGCTTGGCAGAGCTAGCTGCTCGAAAGTACAAACAAGCAGCAAAGTGCTTCTTGTTGGCATCATTTGATCACTGTGATTTCCCTGAGGTAAGGACCAAGAGGGGACTGTGTATTGCATTTGGAAGTGATGTAGTTCTCCTAAGGAGTAGATCGTAAAATTCAGATGCTGTAGTTATTCTCACAGCACTCCTGCATGGTTTTGAGGGTGTTATGAACCACTGAACCATGTTTTACCAAAAAAAACCCTCTGCTCTTGAGTTCTCGGAATTGTCTACTCTGTCACATGGGTATTCTGTGTGAGATCTGTGCACCAGTGCAGTCCAGTCAAAAGACTGGTTGCTGGCATTGGTTTCTGCTGCTAGCAGTGGCCATTTGCTCCTCAAGCTGAATGAATGCCAGGGAGCACATTGAGGGCTTCTGCTGCATTTGGCATGCCTGGGGTAGGACACCTAATTCTAGACTTCTGCCGTTTTGGTAGTCTGTGATAGTGCTCCAGTTCAGATCTCTCTCTCTCTCTGTTTCTAGCTGTTATCTCCTAGCAATGTGGCTGTGTATGGTGGTCTCTGTGCCCTTGCTACTTTTGACCGGCAGGAACTGCAACGAAATGTTATCTCCAGCAGGTGAGAGTGATGCCCTGAGGGTACTTTATACAGTACAGGACATCTTCTGGGACATGGACTCTAGTTTGAGAACAGATTCAGACGGGAGTAGTAGTCCCTTATGGAGGAGAAAGAAGCACTCGGCCCTAGTTAGAAATTAGTGTTAGGTGAGATTTCACTGTCAGAGTGGTTAATCATAGCTGAAATTTCTGTAATATAACAGAAGTTTCCAATCCAGGTCATAACTAAAAAATCAGAGTGAGATAGCATTATAGAAGGCAACTGTAAGATAATTTTCCTTTATGTTATAACTTGTTCTGGTGTATGTTAATCATATTACTACAAATTAATAATTGTTAATACAACATCGGTTAAGATGACAATCTAACTGCAAAATATGCAAGGTTTTCAGACTTACAGGTCTTGGAATAATATGGACAGTTGTGCATCATAGATTAAATGATTCTGATATTAAGTTATTGATAGCTAAGGGTATGGATGCAGTAATTTTAAACTGATGTGGAAAATGAGTATTACCCTGGCATTTTTTTATTGCTGGTTCATAAAGTAACATTCCACAGTTCAGAAATGTGGGATGGAGAATTGGGAGAGCACTGAGAAAGGATGTGCGTCCCAAAGGTCTCCCCCATTTAAAATGTGTTATTTTCCTGAGACAGTTCCATGCTGAACCTACCTGTGGCATACTATACTTTAGAGGAGGTTGTGCTTTTGAAAGGGAACACAAAGCAGGCTAGCACAGAAGGCAGCCAACACCAGTGTTGCCTCTGTCTCCTCATGGTCTGTCTTGACTTTGACCTAACCCGCCTGTTTTCTTGCCTTGCACAGACAAACATTTCTATTACTTGTTTTGTCAAAGTCTCTTGTCTTCCTTTGCCACAGCTCTGATGCTGTGCTGTGCCTTTCCCTCTTCCAGACTCCCTGCTTTGCTGAAAATGGTTCTTTGGTAGGTTAGAGAGTACATTCTTGGAGTCTCGAATGATGGTCAGAGTTTGTAACCATGTAATTTGGAGTGGTGAGGTTGTTGGGGTGTCTTGGTGGGTTCCACAGTCCATCTGATCGCTGCCTGTTTGTCTGTAGCTCCTTCAAATTGTTTTTGGAGCTGGAGCCACAGGTTCGTGACATCATCTTCAAATTTTATGAATCCAAATATGCCTCATGCTTGAAGATGTTGGATGAGATGAAGGTAAGTTGCGGGGGAACAGGGTGGGAACAGACCCTAAGAGTCTCCTTCCTCTGGCCTTTTGTAAGAATTGAATATTAAAAGTAGCTACTAGGAGTGTGCTCCATGCTGAACTCTTTTTGCTGTGCCTTCTGCCTCTCCTTGGTGAATGGACATTGTGAGTAATGTGGTAAGGGAGGATGAGGAGAAATTTTATATATATGTATTATATATAATGTTATTTTATTGTATTTTATTTTATAGTCTTGTCTTGCTGTAGTGAATATTAATATCCTTAAAATTTAAGTATATATCTATGCATGTTTAAGAACATAAGAATAATACTTTTTTTTTTTTTTCCTGTGCTGCTTCTCTGCTTCCTACTCATAGGACAACCTGCTGCTGGATATGTACCTAGCACCTCACGTCAGGACACTTTATACCCAAATTCGAAATCGTGCCCTTATCCAGGTAATTGTTCCAGTAAACCGGAGAGATAGATGAACAGTGAGATAGGCAGTCTCTTCCTAATTGCTTTTCTTATGGTGTTTTAGAGGGTGAGGAGTAAGCCTGACAAATAAATATTTCTTTGTTCCTAGTACTTCAGCCCCTACGTGTCAGCAGACATGCGCAAGATGGCCACTGCTTTTAATACCACAGTGGCTGCTCTGGAAGATGAACTTACTCAGCTGATCCTGGAGGGACTGATCAATGCCAGAATAGACTCTCATAGTAAGGTTAGTGCCCCTGAGCCACAGTCTGTGGGCTGAAGTGAGCAGTTGTGGTAGTATGTGGAAACTCTTCATTCCTGGGAGATTCTGAAGTTATCTTTAGTAACTGGTGTTGTCAGTAGTGTGGATCTGCATGGAAACTCAGACTCCCTGATTCCTCAGCCTTGTTCCAACATGCAGAAAGGGTTTCCAGGTTTGGAACCCTGTCGTAGCTCCTGCATCCACTTCTCTGGTTACAGATTCTTTATGCTCGAGACGTAGACCAGCGCAGCACCACTTTTGAGAAGTCTTTGCTAATGGGCAAAGAGTTCCAGCGACGTGCCAAAGCCATGATCCTGCGGGCAGCAGTCCTGCGCAACCAGATACATGTCAAGGTATGGACATGTTAAATGTGGAATCTGAAGCAGTGTTACTAGTTTGTTTGTTTGTTTCTAACAGAAAATGCAAACATTGGTGAGCTGAAGATTCTGGAGGGGAGTGGATTTATTGTGCTCATGGACACATTCTTACTATATTAAATAATAAATACAGAAGGAACAAGAAATCCTAGCTAATACACTGACTTTTGCAATGCAGAGTGTACTGTGCAGCCTGTACGCTTGAGTTGCTTCTGTCTAATTGATTCTGGCTAATTCTTGGTACACCTACCTTTTATCTTACCAAAATAAAGAAAAAATACTCACTTTGATTTTTCAACAGAAGAAATAAAAAAGCTTTTTTGTTTGAACTATTCCTTCTAGAATGCAGTTCTAAAAGAAAGCCCTGGGGGAGGATAGGCCACCTGCAGCAGAGAGTGTTGTTTTTCTGTAGTACATTAATCTCCCTCATAATTAAATGCCAGAAAAGATTCAAGCCAGCAGGTTTTTGATTCAACTTGGGCTCACTGCATCTTGTAATTAGTAAACAAAAGTGCTTTTAAACATCTGATTTAACTTAATTATGACCAGTTCTTGTGAACAGTAACTATAAAAAGATTATAAACACAAAACCTCGCGAAAACCCTGATTATTATCCTGCTGCTGCTGTCCTGCTGTGCTTCATCTGTTTCCTTTGGTCTCTCTGGAAGCACCCTGTAGCATATGTACACATGTTACTAACTAGCATGTATTTTGGTCTTCTTCTTGCAGTCTCCTCCAAGAGAAGGTAGCCAAGGGGAGCTTACTCCAGCTAACAGCCAGTCCCGAATGAGCACCAACATGTGAAAAGCTTCATGTGCTACCAAAAGAAATGGTCCCTCCAGGACTGTATCCAGTATCTCACGCAAAAACTGCTGAGCTTCACAAACTGCCCCTGCCTCCCTCACTATTGCTTGGTTGAGAGGGTCAGGGCTGATGGTGGATAATACAAATATTCCAGTAACTTTAATTCTCGTAGGAAAAATTATTTCTAAAAGTGGAATCCTTGCAATGGATTGTCATTTCAGTGCTGGTAGGACATCTCCCTCCATTCTCCTTCATCCACAACTCTGTGAACAATTGCTAGGTTATTCATACAGATGCTCATTAGAGGGTTTTTCAGCTGCTATTAATTTTCTTGGTTCAATGCTGCAAAAATAAATAGTGTTAAGTTGAATGGACAGGTGTTATCAAAGATGAATTTTGCTGGCCTAAAATATTGCCTTGATTCTGAGCAGTGCTCTGCTTTCTCTTTATTCAAATAAACTCTTAAGTGCATTGCTCTTGGTTATGGAGCTAGAGTTCTGATGGGAGACAAGATTCTTTCAAGAAACTCTTAAGGATTTTTTTTACTATATCTGAACACATGGCACTGTTTCCACGCATTCGGACACAGACCTGTATTTGAGGTTGCTGTGTTCACCTGGATCCAGGTTCCTTCTGTCTGGCCTGTCTTTTGAAATACCTGTTTCTTAATTTGTCTCTCACCTGCACATGACTTGGCTTTGGGGTCAGTGTTACCATAGCAGTAAATCTCTACCTTATGCAGGTACTGCTGTTTGTCCGGTCTTCCTACCACAGCGTGTGATTGTTTTCCAACATGTGCAAAAGTTGTTTCTGTCAGCATGGATAAATGCCCTAAAATACCACACAAGTCCTGGGGCAGAACTGAAAGCAGCCAGTCCAGGCGCCTGCTCTCCGGCGCGTGTATTCGGCTAACCCTTTCCTAAAGGGATTCGAGGTGATGCCCTGCATGTCTGTGTGCAGTTCTGGGAGTGGAAGGAGGTAGGCACTGAATGTTCTCAAGTCACTGCGGCCTTGTGGCATAAGGCAAGCTAGGAACTTTCATCCAGCTGGATCTGGCTGGACTGGCAATTGACTACAGATGTTATTGTTAATGCATGTGCTCTTTTTTTTTTTTTTTAAATCTGTTATTTCTAGTGCATTAAATTGCAGGATTAAAAAGCTTTGTAGTGTGTGAAGTTTTGTGTTAAAGTTGCTTTTTTAGGTATATTTATCTCAAGTCATTGTTCTTATGCTAAGCTTGATGATGTCTGGCAGATCACGTCCTATTTGGTTGGAGATGTATCTTGGATGAACGGAGAAGAAAGCTTGAGGAAATGGTCTAACAGCAAATTCCTGTGCTGCTTTTGCACACAGCTGCTGAACTGCAGCAGTGCTCCCTCCCTCTGGTTCTTTTTGACTTAGGTGCCAAAAATGGAAGCAATAGTTCCTGTGAGATCTTTGGTTAAATATCTTCTATTTGGCATAGAGAAAATACCACGTTTTGGAGGAGAGAAAAGGAGCTACTTAATCAAGAACTTTGAGTCAGGCATGGTGATGGCCATTTATGAGAGAAAGGCAAGTTGAGTCCTCAGGTAAATTATTACTAGACCTTGTAGCACTGTTAGGAAATATTAAGGCCTTCTGTTCATGTTGAAGCAAAGCCATTACATTCTGTTGTAGTATTTAAAATTTGCTGCTTTCAGATACTTTCTTCTTAGTTCAAATGGGGCAGTGATATGGTTTCTAAGGAAGAGTTCCTAATTGTTTTTGAAAAGTTTTTGCAACCCCATTCAGTGCATTGTGTTAGTTGGCCATCTTTTCTGATGCACATCCTCAGCTGTCTTGATTTAGTTGGCTACTTCTGTGTCCCATCCTGCAGATTTTCTCCTGGAGGAAACGTAAGTTGTTGGCAGAAGGTCTCTGCCTCTTCAGCTTGCTCCCTTGAGGCTCTCTGGCAGTTGTCTGCTCTTGTGAGAACTTCATTTGCCTGTTTGGGATGTGGCTGAAGTGAGTATTCTGTAAGGGCATTAAACCCACTAGGTGGCAATAGTGGTTTCTGTGCATTAAACTGGGAATTCTGCTGTATCCCAAAGCAGCAAGACAAAAATAACACTTTTTTTTTTTAAATCTGCAGATAAATGTGCTTACAACCTCTTTTGAGCAGTAGGATGGCCCTTTTTTACAGTTCAGAACAGCAGTTCCGTGGTGCTCTCCAAGCTCGATGTGTGATTTGTGTGGTGCTATTGGCAGGTACCTACCTCTTTGGGTAACCTCAGAAGGAAGCTGCTGTTGCACTAGAGTCTCCTAGACGTGAGTCAGGGCTGTCTGACTATTTCCTCTAGATTTTGCTCAACTCCCGCTCCCTCCTAACTACTTGTCAGGCCAAAGATTAGGAAATACAACATAGCAAGGATGCAGTTCTGTATAACTCCCATTCATAAACCATTTCCTAAAAATTACAGGGATTAGAGTTGTCTTAAACTTCCAAGGGGAGAGAGTAATACAAGGCAAGATAACTCCCATAAGTTTGCAGGGATTCCCTGTGACCATCCAGCTAATTCAGGGCATGAAGTTTTGTGGTAGCTGCAGGATGTTGCTCTGGCTAAGCCATGTCCAGAGGAACATTGCTTAGGTGCATTTCACTGACTTGTTCAACACCTTCGGGAGTGGAAGGAGGTGCCAGTGGTAGGTCATCATTTATGGTGTGCTCAGGCAGTGTAAATCCTCTTTTAGCCTGACCTGGCTATTGATAAAGGGAGAACAGTTTGAAAGAAGGTGCTTTTGGTGGAGGCAGTTCACTTTGGCAAAGAAATGGCAGAAACTTTCATTTTGCGAGTGTTGTGTTGGAGCAGTTCAAGTGTAAACCATCTTCTTAGAAGAAAAAAAAAAAAGTTATTATTATTTCTTCTTCATTACTTTGAAAAAAAGCAATCAAAAACCATAATTTGGCCATTCAAGGTTATTATTATTTCTTCTTCATTACTTTATAAAGGACGAGATCTAGGTGAGAAGGACGGGGCAGGGAGGGCCGTGTGCTCCACGTGACAGTGTTCTGCCCTTTTCATGTGTTGTGCATTGTGAGAGCTGAGATTAACACAGGTGAGTGTTTTCTTTTCAGTAGCCATTAGGTGTTTATTAGCAGTGTTTTTAAAAATTGTATGAAATTGTCTTCCACTTATCTCAGATAATGTTAAGAGCCAGATGTGGATTACTCTGTTTCACACATGAGCTTTGTTCTTCAAGTGCTACTGTTTTGGCTAGTGCATTTTCATGTGTTTGATCTGTAAATTCAATTCAAGATTTTGTAGGCTCCGATAAAACCACCTATCTTCAGCTTTCTAGGATAACTAACTTGCTCAGTCCAAATTAGTTATGTTGAAAAGAAACAGCTATATCAACCTCTGAGAGAGCAGTATGAGATTCAGGGGTTAGGAGTTGCATGAATTTCCAATGCAAGTAAAGCAACTTATTGACAGCAAAGCATTGTCCAAAAATCATAGGATAACTTGCTCAGTCCAAATTAGTTATCTTGAAAAGAAACAGGCTAATAAGGAGCTATATCAACCTCTGAGAGAGCAGGATGAGATTGAGCGGTTAGGAGTTGCATGACTTTCCAATGCAAGTAAAGCAACTCATTGACAGCAAAGCATTGTCCAAAAATCTAATTAATAGATTTGGAGTGTTCATTGAAATCCACAGTGCTACCGGCAGCTACAGGAGCTGGTCTAATTCAAACAGCACAAAAGGGGCACGTCCTGAGGACCTGTCGTACGTGGGAGATGGGGCTGGAGCTCCTTGCTCTTTAGCCTGTAGCTGTCAGGACTTGAGCAGCCAGAGCTGTCCATGTTCTACCATCTTACTGGAATATGGCACTGTGGAGTCTGTGTGTGCATTAAGCTTGTGCCCTGTAAATATATGCTGAGATTCAGCATTTTCATTGGATTTACTGCTTGTGTTTTGGTGATGGTGGGGTTTTTTTTTGTTTTTTTTTGGGGGGGGCGGTGCTGATGCATTGTCTGAGAAGCTGGTTGCCAAATAAAGGCATTTGGCTTCCTTTTTTTGTTGCATGAACTAGTACTGTGAAAATGGGTTAAGTGCAGAAATCTCATTTACCTCAAGCTCAAATAAATGTTAAGTGGGTGATTTTTAATAATTTCTAGCATGCTTCTACATGCAGAATGCTGCTCCCCCCCTCCCTCTACTTCCCTTAAAATAGCACACAGTGTTTCTTCTTGAGGTGCTGTGACACAGGAGCAAAACAGGACATAATCCTGCTGCCTTTGCACGTTGCAATTTTTTAAAAATTGGAGATAAATAGGATAATTAGTGTATTGCCTAGCCTGGAAGCAATCCCTAGTTAATGCAGGTGCAGGTGTGCCCAGTTTAAGTGGCAAATGGCTCAGCTTTATCCATGTTGTAATAGCGCCTCTTCATTCACAAGCTTTGGGTATTAAGAAATTGATAGAGTGGTCCTTTACTTCATTAATTATGAGGTTGTAATCTTCCACAGAGGCTGTTGAAAGTTCAGATTGCAGCTTTTGTATTCGTGTAGTGATCTGCAGCTTTGGAGGACTTAAGTACCTGTTTCTTTGGTGGTTTTAGCATGTTAACTGGCTGTCATTATAGTTTAAGGCCATGCTAACTATCAACTAGGCAGAATTGATGTATAATCCTGGGTGTGTATTTTGTATGGGCTCTGTTATACATTATTGCTTTGTTCCCTTCCACTGACCTCACTTTATAGGGTAGAAAACCATTATTGGCCTGATGCTTTGAAGAGCACTGATACAAGGCTAGCAGCACTGCAGCAAGGGTGCTGTCTCTCTACAACTACAGCATCTAGCTTTACTGAGAACTTAAATCATGAAGTAATTTAATGTCATCTCATGCTTTCAGAGTACCTCTTTGTTCCTGTCTGCATTGCAAAAAGGATGCTGCATCTCAAACAAATGTGAGCCATTTTCTACTAGTGAAGTAGTCATTGTTTTTTTAAAAAAAATGCTTCAGAAGGGTGCTCTAATATAAGACGTTTATTCCTCCATATTAAAGGCAGCACATGAAAGACAAATGAAGTTAAAGGAGACAGATTGTGATGACAGCATGTATAAGTTGTCCCCTTCCCCAAATGCACACCCTTTGGGTGCACTCAACTTGGTCATGTCCTTAAAACACAGCATAAGAAATTTAATTGCATCCTTTTTTTATTTCAAATGCAGGATAATTCCCTGAGTAAGCAGCCTTTACTTAAATAAAACTTGTCCAGAACCCAGAATAAACCTGTGGAACAAGGTCACACAGCTGATGATACTCTGGAGATGGCAGGTTCTTTGGCCCAGGGATGCAGAGGCCTGGCAGGAGATTCTATACAATTAATTTCCAAGCTTCACACTGCGCTGTCAACAGCCTCCTTCATTAAGGGTCGTCTCTTCCACGTCCACCTTGCCTCTCCAGCTAATCTCTGGGTTTTGAATCTCCCTTTGACTACTCTGCCACAAAAGGGATTTTTCATACTTGGTCTTAAAAAGTAGTCCATGACCTGAAATAAAAAAAGGATAGCTAAAAAAAACTGAAATAGAGCTGAATGCCCTGGAAAACAGAACAAGCTCAGTCTGTGTAGCTAGAAAATATGGTTGGATCCTCACAGTCTGGAAACAATGCAACCCAAGGCTTTTAGAAGCAGCAGAAAAACCACCATACCAGGAAGAACTTCCACAAGATTTCAGAAAGATTTTTGGTGTTCAAAAAAAAAACAAACAAAAACCCTCCCCACCTTATACAGCAGTGATTCAAGATGAAGGATCAGATTCCTACATCAAAGATTCAATGATTATAAATGAAGGATAAAGCATTTCTTCACTGATTTGTAAGGCCATAACTGATTGATGCAGCCCCACTTACCTGGACAGTCTGCTGTCTCTTTGAATGCTCTTTTCTTACAGCATCCTCGGCACATATTAAACACGCATTTACTGCCCTGGTGGGGGGTGGGAAAGGGATAGCAAAGGGGAATAGAAGCTTGGATCAGTTAGCTTAGTGAAAAAAATATATACCTTTTTCTGTAATAAGCACCATCTATCCAGCTGTACACAGATAATTTGAAGAAGGCCAGAGCCATCCATTAGGTAGTCACTTCTCACTGTGAGGAAGACTAGAGTTGCTTGACATTCTATGATCTAGTTGCAATGATAGTTTTAACCTCCCTCCCCTTTTTTTTTTCAATCTGTACAACACTATCAGACCACTTCTTCAAATTCTTATTCCTCATGTAAAAAAACAAGAAAGCACCATCCTAAACCCTACTGCTGGTTTTGTTTGTTTTTCCACAGCAGAACATATGTGTATTCAGTGAAAGCTTGGAGATTTGCTTCCAAGAGATCCAGGGGAGCTGTATCTAATTCACTCAACTGTCTCAGCAGTAGCTGTGTAAGTCAGACTGCAATTTTTGGAAAGAAAGGCAAATAATCACAAACTATTTACATGTGTTTATACAGTTTATATAGTGAACAGCTAAAAGGCATTTGTCTGAACACACCGGACTTTGTACGCCTGCCTCACTGGGTAGTGCCATTACAAATGTCAGGATTAAACATGCTTTAATTGATGCTAGCATGGCCTTACCTTAGGGTTTCCACACTGATCACATTTTGCATATTTGGCTGGAAAAGAGAGACCCAATTTTAGCAATAGTACTCACATACAGAAACAGTAAATTCTTAATTTCATGATTGGGTAAAACTTGGAACTTTTATAGACGGGGTGGAGTTTTAGTAAAATACCTCAAAGAACAGCATAAAGAACGTAAAGATACACTGACTCTATGTTAAGAGCCTCTATGTTAAGTGTAAACACAGAAAATACTTAACCTCAAGTCCAAAGGAGAAGGTAAGCTGCTTGTAATGGATCAGCCACCTGCTTTGATAACTAACTTGCTCTCCCAGCAAATGCAATTTGAATCACATTTCCTACTATCAAAGCTTTCCAATTCCCCTCTCTCAAAAGTTTCTTCAGTTGCATAAACAAGGAAAATAAATTAGTGACAATTTGTGACCAAAGGCGGCACAAGCAGCATTTCCATCCATTTATATCAATAATCAAAGAAACTTACGTTTTAAAGATGGATCAAAACTTTTATTTGGATTTCTTAATTTCTTTTTTTGCTTATTCTTTGAAAGAAGCTCAGAATTTCTATCTTCCTCATCCTCCAGAGCACGTTTTCCTCGCACACCCTTCTCAGGGCCACTGATTCCATTCTCTTTGCATCTTTCTTTTGGCCTGAAATGGCAACCATCACTGTAAGCTGGCAGATAGCAACAAGTAACTGTTGCCTGCCCTCCCCAACCACACTGTTGATGGAAATCTAGGTAAACTGTAAACCCTCCTAGCATTATAAATTGTAATTGATATTGCATATAAAAATGAAACAGGAAAGTGCAAATACATCTTTTCTAAGCATTTCACAGGTCACAGGCTGTTTAAAACAGATGTACTATCAGTCAAACCAGTTACAAAGTCAAAGCTGGTTACTTAAATCAGTTAGGTACCTGTTAACTTGCCATTTACAGGGAGAATCTAAGCATTACTCTTGACACGCTCTTGTCTTCAAACAGTATTTTCACCAAAGGAAAAAGGCAAAGCTATCTGTAAAGCTTGTCCACACAATACTAGTGTTTTCTATACAACAGAATTTAGTTCTCTTTGCTACTGTGGCAGTTACCAGCAGCAATTCCTGTATGTAACAATAAAGTGCTGTCAGATAGCAAAATAGCTTGGCTTTTACTTTTCAGAAAGAGATAAAGTTGATGAGGATCTAAAAGAGAAAAGGCCTAAAATGAGTAACATCCCCATGAAAAAAGCCAGCAAACCAAACCAGGAAAAAAACAAAAAACAAACAAACAAAAAACCCAGAAAATCCATTTATTTTTAAATAAATGTAAGTTGTTAGAGCAGAACTAAATGGCTCTGCATTGAACAGTCTGGGAGGGAATGGCATATTTGTATGTTAGAAACGGTAACTCACCCCGGCCTGATGTATGGCTGACAAATCCAGTGGAAGAAAGGCAAGCCTTCTTTTGGCTTTTCTCCTCCTTTCTGATTAGCTATTTCCTCCTGTAGCACAGCATTACAGTCAATTTTCCTGAAGTTCTCAGGAAATAATACCTCAAACCCCATAAAAGCACAAAATGGAATTTAAACTAGTTGTTAATGACAGTTAAATGTAGGCAAAAAAAAATGTAACAATCTAGTAAAATGGTCATAAAGCAGCAGATTTTTTAACTCCTAAGGCAGCCTCATCCCACGTTAAGTTGTTTGAATTTGAGAGAATGACACTGCAGTAAATTAACAATATTAAGGTTGACAAGTCCCAGAGTTCCAATAAGGAGGTTAACAGACATGAACTGCATGGCAGTTCCCACTACGTGTGGCCAGCGTTCTCCTGGAAGATAAGAGGTCACCTTGGTACCTGACATCGTAGCTTCAGCTCTCTGTTCACATCTGCAATGCCCTCTAGAGTCTTCACTTTGGCTAATTCTTCACGCAGTTGCTGGTAAACTTGAAGCCTGCAGCAAATACCAAACACCAGGTCATAGTTCTTCATTATTGCTAGACAAAAGAGATTGAATAAAATGTCTTTTCAAAAGCTTTTTGTACATTTCCCTTGCTGCGTTTGCTTTTTGTAGCCATTTGTCGTTGTCTTTTTTTTTTTTTTTCCCTCCTCATATTTCCAGAGAAAAAGAACAGACACCTGCTACTCTTTTTTCAAATAAACATTTGGATCTTTGGCAGATAAACAAGGTACTCTGGGAGTAGCTAACATGCAAACCTATAGTGCATCAGCTCCTTCACAGGAGGTGCCAGCGACCAAGCTCTTACCCCAGAGCAATGCAAAGAGCTTGCCTCACCATCCCTGAGGAGTTAGTTACCTCATGTTACCACAAGGTGCATGCACGCATAGGGGCAGTTACCACACAGCAGATGATGGGCTATAAGCTCACGCCCTAGCTTATCTTCTGGAAACCTGTCCCCATGTTCTGTTTCCCAGACGTGCAGTGAAACATAGAGGCTTTAGCCCGGATTATCTCCAGACAGGTTCAGGGAAGAAAATCTTGCAGCACACCAATTCTGCACAAAGTTTTGTCCTGAAGAGCCAGACACTTCCTAAGCAAGACAGGCCCTGAAAAAATGGCAGAGTTCTCTACAGTTACTCACGTGTGATGCCAGAGCTTGAAAAGATGAGCCCTGACGTAGGACAATGGACAAGGGTACTTCTGCACGATCTCCAGATACTCCTCAGCCATCTCCCACACCAAAGGGTTTCGGCCCTCAAACAAAGCTGGGTTATGAAGATTGCCCTCTGGGGAATAAAAAGAAATATTCCAATTTCCATTTCAGGATTAAAACAAAACAACAAAGTTCTAGAGCTGGATCAGCTCAGTTGTGATTTTACCAATTAATCAAGGAAACATAGCCAAATAATTACACATAAAATAAAGGGTCCATAAACCATTAAAAAAAGGTTTAGGTTGTAGTCCCATCTGTCTAGCCTAAATTTCCAGATATCTCACTGTACCTTTCCCCACTAGTTTGACAAGCCTTTGATTAACTAGTATCTTTTTAAAAATAAAATTCTACAATTTCCTAGGTTAATTATTTTAATTGTGCCATTGATTGGAAGCTTTTTCTGATGTCTATTTCTAACTTTTCTTAAGTAGTGTCAATTCCGTTTTTTTTTCCTCACTGAATGATCAAATGATCGCAGTTTTCTTTATGATAATGACTGTATATAAGAATTAGCTATAAGAAAGCCCATACCATGCCTTGTCCTCCTGTAGATACTAATTCAAGCTGTAATATCAGAAAATCCCTTATTGATTTAGCCCACCTACAGAAACTCTTCATTCTATGCCAAACCACAAATATATGCAGGAATTTTAACCAGCGGATACAGTTTCTGCATCAAGATCCATGCAGAAACCCAAGAGAACATTCCAAGACAATAGGATTCCCATAGGTCTTTGTCAGCTAATTAGCTCTGAGCTGTCCACTCAATGGTACTAGAAGTCCAGTACAACAGTTCTCAGTGTAAAGGAACTCCTGCTCCTGAGAAATGAGAAATGCCAGGAAAAAGGGAGAATGGCTACTTGGCTTTCAGTTGAGGCTGTTCACCAAAGCAGCCTGGCTTAAGCTTTTAATAAAGTTGTATGGGACTATCAAAGCACTCAAGAAACAGTCTGCACCCTCCAGAGCTAAACCAACAGCTCATGTGTCTTTACCTGCACTCATGACACCGTGTACTCCTGTCTTTCGGATACATTCTTCCACATCACTGAGACACTGGATGTTTCCATTTGCAAACACAGGAATGCTCACAGCTTTTCTGTATCAGTGAATAAACCAGATGCACAATACTGAGAATTAAAAGGATTGTTTGGAGTCAATCCAGACAGTCTATTGCTGCCACACGACTTGGTTCTTCAGTGCCATTGCACACACTGCTCATAACCTACGTTGACACTGTTTTAGAAGTTATCTTAAAACTTTAGGCACAGAGCAAAGGAAACTAAGGGTGCCCCTTCTCTGGCACTGCTCACTTACCGCACAGCTTGAATATGCTCCCAAGATGCTACACCAGCAAGTGGTCCCTTTTGTTCTTTAGTACGGCCATGGACAGTCAACAGCTAGAACACAAAAGTTGCATTTGCTTTTGAAGTATACAAACCACTGGAACAAATACACTGCTGGAAATTTCCTTTCATCCCAGACACTTGGTGGATGCCTCTGAATATCACACACTGCTATTTCAACAACACCAGCAGTTTTGGAATTACAGAAAGACATCACCAGCTCACAGCGCACAACATGGTCTTGGGCTTCATCCAGCTTGCTGCCTCACAGTACGACAAGACTGTATCTTGGGAGATCCTACGGGTTTCCTACTTGTGATTCAGTGTTGAATGTGTGATATATTTATTGATCTGGCCTACTCCTCAGCAGAAGACCAGAATAGTGGCAGCATTGGCTCTCTCTACAGGCTGGCTCCAATTTGACTGCAGTCAAAATTCTAAACAACAGTTTTAACTGCTGATGGCCATCTTTGACATGAAGTACTGACGCCATGCAGTGTTACACTGGGCTACTACCTGCAGTGAAGGATGCCACACCATGCACTGGTAACAGCAGAGATTCCCAATTTACACTGTGTTCCATACTATACTACTGACCTGCAGTCTAAAACCCCCAATACACACAATATCTCTGCATTCCATTTTTTTGGCAATAAGACAATACAGCTTATCCATTGCCAACGTGCACCAAGATCTGGTAGTAAGATGACCTGCACAAAGACACGTGTCTAATACAATAGTATAGGGAGCAGCTGCCTCCTTACCTGGCAGCCAGCTTTCTCCAGCATCTGTGCATACTTCACTGTCTTGTCAATCTCTGGGAAAACACGGATTTTGCACGTGATGGGAACAGAGAGCTTCTCGTTAGCTAGCAAAACTGGGAAAGATTGAAAAGACAGGTAAAAGTGAGCTGCAGTGCTATGAAAGGTGCCTAATCTCCTCAAGATCAGACACCGGGTGTGGCATGGAAAAGCCTGAAAAGTTAATGCTATGCAGCTCTCATAGCTTAAATAATCAGCAATGTCCTTCTGCAACCCTTATTGCATAGATTAATCAGGTTGATAGCAAATCACTAAGAACAAAATCTGCATTCTATTAAGAAGACATCAAATAGTATTTAATAGCCTTTCTTTTGAGAAACTTCCCCATTTAATCGCAATCACTGATCCATTTTTACCATTGTCACAACATTCCTTCCAAGGTATTCCTTCTACTCTGCCAGCAACAACTCACTTATCCATCTTTCCTATAAAAGGCCCTCTGCTTCTTTCCAAATTATCATCCAAATAACCATGACAAGCAGAGGCTTTTCGGATGATGTAGGCTGTGGACCCAGTGAAGTAAGAAAAGTAGGTTATGCATTAAACACCCATAGTCCTTACACAGTGCACGGACTGGAATGCTACTGAAAAAAGAGGCAGCCAACTGGAAAACGCTGAGCAATAGCATGCCTGAAATTCTGTTCTCTTCTGGAGCTTAGGGGTTAATGCACAAAGGCACCTGTTTTTCTGTAATCTAAATTCCAAAGCTCTGTTCTGTTGATAGGTACCTTCTTATAACTCTTTTGTAGCAGCTAACAGGCTGCATACAGGTGCAAGCAGAAAGAAGTACTCTAATATTTTAAAGGAGGCTGGAGAAGGAGGAAGAGGCTTTGCCCATCTTCTACAGACTCTCTTAAAAACTGACTGGGTTGTCTTCTCAGATTGAGGCTGTTCTAATTTGCATCTTTCACTCCTCAGAAAATTGCCTTAACAACCAGAATACATGCTGGGTAGAGAAGCAGAGTCTACCTTTCCAGGTTCACGGCTGCATTTTTTTTGTGCATAGTGTCATTCAAGATTCACTGGACCACAAGGAACACAAGCAGAAATGAGTCTTTAACTGCTCGCTTCAGCCACTTGCTTTGAAATGTGAAAAGCAGTCTCTAGGCTCTACAAAACGATCAGAACGTTGCTTTTTAAAGTAGTTCCAACTGTTATTTCAACAAAAAATATGACACTGTTCACAACTATTAGCCATATTCTGAGAACAACCTACATAACTCAGGAAAGAAAGACATAACTTATTTTGGTATAGCCAGAAATAGGACACTAAGCTGATTAGAAAAGGGCAACTGTGGCTTCAGGCAGAAGCACAACTGGCACCCGAGAACTTCAGACTGAAAAAGTAAAGCACTGGGGAGTTGTGCTATTTTTAGAGCTAGAGAGACGCAAAGTCACCATTAGACTGGGACTTCATCATCCCACTTTCACCTAAGCTCTGTTTCAGGTACTGAAATCTTCTAGCAGATCTAGCATTAATTTGTAGTGAGACCAGTGACTACTTTGACAGTACCATTGGAATACAAATAGAGTAAAACAAACAAACAAAAAATCCAAAATAAACCTCCTTTTAATGATAAGCTTATCCTGTTCCCTCCCAAAAGTAAAGCCAGAGACCTCTCCAAAGACTTACTCATTCTCTGAAGAAGATCCCACTCCTCCTGCAGAAAGGCTCCATAGTGACCTGTAATAAAAAAATAAAATACCAGGGGATTGCATGGACTGACATAAACAAGTCTTCATAAGGATTCACCTACCAAGATCCTAACACATAGACCTTGCTGACAGAAACAGAGTTGCTCAGCTCTGCCCAAACTGGAAGAGTTAGATCCCTGTCTCTCGTGCCACCTGAGACTTACAGGATAATCCATGAAGCCCCACACCCTACTTTCACTGCTGCTCCCTAGGGCTGGTATGTTGTCACTGGCCATCCTATTGTCAGAGTTTTATACCTGGTTTAATTCCCTCCAGGATAAAAACTAATAGGACTGAAACATGGATTTTCTCTGTCCATCAATCTATTAGTCTTTGAAAAACAGCTTTGAAGAGGCACAAACTAACAGGGAACAATTCTTTCCTCAATATTCTGACTGGTCCAAAATTTTCAAAGGCTAGTTTTTCCTCCCTATGGATATCTTCACAGTATCTGAATTATACAGCATTTTTATGCTTTTACATATTAATATGAAGAAATTCTGTACAACTATCAAGGATTCAGGAAACACTGAGTGCCTACATTATAAAACTTGAAATTACATATTTAAGGTTAGGCTGTTTGATCAGTTGAAGTTAGATAAAGTCACACCCCTGTTAAAAACACCTTTTTTAAGGATATTCTAGAAATGAGAGCTTCCACTTGAGAGTTAGAATTATTAGGATACCCAATTTTTGCTTCAGTAACTACAAAGCATTACCTGTTAAAGTAGGTGTAGCTATCTTGATTTCAACAGCACTGCAGCCACCCACACCAAGGCTGAATTTTGTCTTCTGCATATTTTACTGTCAAAGTTCACACTTGTAACACGCCATTTCTCTGCTTATGTAGGCTCAGATTTGCACATACCTCTCTTTGCAATCATCTGAGGGCAACCCAAATTCAGGTCGATGGCATCACAATAATCCTGAGCCAACAGTGCTGCTTGGACAAACACTTCTGGGTCATTGGCACAGAACTGAGGAAGACACAGAGGAGAGGAAGAATCAGACGACTGCTATTTTTAAGTAGCAACGCACCATTACTGTGACACATAAAACACCTAATTGTTAACGAAAAGGGTCAGAGCTCATATTAACAACCAGCATTTCTCAAATTAAATAAATCTTCTCCAAGATGGCCATGCTTTTACAGATTTACTGCTCCTCCTCAGTCATCTGTCTTCAAGGTGAAGAGTCCTCATCTATTTAAGCATTCCTCCCTCATGAGGAAAATTTGTTCTTCTGCTCACCTTGCTGCCCTTTCCTGACTTTTCTCCTCCCTTGTGAAATGGTATGGACAGAAGAACCCAAACCTTCTCACACACCATTCAGGAAGCAGATACACGTCAAGCTTAAAACAGCATCACGTGTTTGGTTCCATGTTCCTGGCATCTTCTGTTACCATAATCAACAATGAGCTCATGCTCAGTTGGGCTCGGAGAGCTACCCAAAAAACCTGCAATCCTCCCTGAAAAGCATCAGGTCTGAAATAGCTTTTGACACAGACCAGATGTAATCCATCTCTAAAGGGCAGCTACTGAGGGCTGAAATGCTACTGGAAATGCAACGCGTTCAGCTCTGCGATAGGACACCAAATCCTCCTGACGAGCCAAGAGACAGAGCAGCAAAGCACGCAGCACCACTGCTGAGCAGCTGAAATAAACAGGCTTTTCTCACTCTGCATAAGTGCTTTAAGGCCCAGGAGAGATGGCGGAGCTCGGCCCCACTCCCATTTAAGAACACCCGGGTGTATCC